AAACCAAATAGCTAAAATTGTTGTTAAGTTTCCAAAAACTTGGGACAAAATTTGTGTAAGGTTGGGCTTTTATAGATCATTGTATAACCCTCTATATGAAAGAAAGGCCTTAGGTTGAACTCGATTATGTAGATCGTATTGAATAAAAAAAAATTCGAAATATAAATTTATATTTTTATATCATAATATTTCACAAATTATAATTCGCATCCTTAAAAGAATTTATGTACGGTCCGATAAGACATAAATTTGATTGCTGAAGACCATATTAAAGGTTAATTTATTTATTTGAAAAGGCAATTTTTTTTATAATAAGTCTTTCCGTATTTTGTGTAGGGTTAGTTTTGGCCAAATTATATTTTTATGACTTCTTAAATTGATGGCGAAAAAATTGAAAATCGAAAATATTTTTTGTTTTTTTGATAAACAAAATTGAAAACCTGAATATCGTAATCCCACCTAGGAATGTGTGTGGTATTATATATATATATTTTAATTTTGATTGGTTAAAATATATTTTTCATGAAAAATAAGCTTTTAAAAAATGAGGAAAACACCTTCCTTAATCAAAGTAGGAAAAATAATTTTAAGTATATAATATTTCGAGTTCATTGTCTCGTCTCCACGCACCTAACATCCCAAATCAATCCCTAGCCAGCGGCAAATTCAAAATTTGAAGACTTTGAGGCACCAATATTATTTAGCGCAAATATGAGCTCTAAGATAAATATAAAATTAAAACAGTAAAATAGACACTCGAGCTGGATTTGAATTCAAGTCTCGCGGGTGAATCATTTAGCTTGTACCTGTGCGCAAGGACCCTCCTATGCTTTTCATCGATGCATTGTTAAATATATCCTAAACTCTGTCAGTTTCTCAAAACAGATATACATATAATACATGATATTTTTTTTTCAAAGTTAAAGGATGCACGTGCACCCTACCTACAGAGGTTGATCCGCCTCTGTCCTGGACCTTCACCATCTGAAATCCACCACTCTGATCACCTAATCCCGCCCACACACTATTTACTAAATTATTTATAAATACGTTTGAAATAATATTCTTTCGCTCGCTTACCAAAAACTACAAAATAAACAAGAAACTCACCTATTTTTGCAAAATATTTTTTAGAAATACATTTTTCGTGGAAACATATTGCTCCTTACCAAACATACCTTTTCCCTTTAAAGTGGGAATATAATTGCATAAGTAAGCTTGTCGTCATGCACCCATCATTTGCAATATAACATTTTGCTTTTCAAAATCGATTTGATCAATTTTTAAAGTTAAATTTGATATTTTAAACGTAAAGTCTATGTATACAAAAGTACTATAAATGGTGTAATTTTTCTCATACTAGTATAATGAAAAAATATAATTTAAAATATTGATCAAAGTTCATTTTCTTTGACTTTTAAAAAAAATAAATTATGACAGCTAAAAAGAAATAGCAATGTAACAATATATTATAAATTTTTAAAAATCTACCTTTCATTCTCAAATTACATTTATTCAAATACAATCGCGTAAATTAAAACAGAAAAAGCATATTTAAACTTATCCATCCCCATGACTTGCCATTATATGTCAAAAATAAAGTTAAATATAAATAAAAAAAAGAACGAAATAAAAGTTAGAAAAGTAAAAAAGATATCATGATGGTGCTATCTTCATAGGGTGAAAGCGTGAAGGCAAAGAAATTCACATACAAATTTGTGAACCACATTTAAAAAAAAATAAAAAATTATCAAATATTTAAAATTTATTAATCTGATTAATTTATCTCTCCTTAAATAAAGAAAAGGGGCGTATAAATTGAGTTTTTGGCTCGCAATAAAAGTTTTTATATTATAAGGATTTAAATTTAAAATCTGTTTTAGGGGCATGTTCACATGTAGTTGTTTAAACATTAGATAGTGCTCACCACATTATATTGTATAATTTTATAAGGAACTATACTTTAAGCACAATATAATTGATCAAGTTGATTAAATTAACTCTTAATTAAAACAAATTGTTTATTAATGTGAAAATTGTACTCAAACAAGCAAAAATGTGTTACTTGACAAAGTCATTTTGAACTTTAATTTCTACTTTCACAAGAATCAATAAATTTTTTTTTATAACAGTATCATTCTTTTATAGACAAGAAAAAAGAAAAGAAAAAGGAACAAATATGATACAAAAGAAGTATACATTAATCTTTTATAGACAACTTGCATGCAAAAAGAAGTAAGTAGATCATCATGCGTATGAATTAATTGAAGCTACTACTAAACTTTTTAGGCTTATTTCGATTCGCGCGTGAAGATGGTTAATTAAATATTTTTATAAAAAATAATTATATCAAATAGGTGGATTTAAATAGAATGAGCGCTATCATATAATCTGTTTTAAAGTCAAGATTATATTAATTTTTTTGATTTATAATTAAAAAAATTGCATAAAATATATAAATGTGATAGATTTCAAATAAAGTGATGTCAAAATCGAGAACGAGGTTTATTTTGTTATATAATTTAATTTTATATTTATACATTATAAAGTAGATCAATATCTATAGGTATTAAATAATATACTTTTTTTTTTTTAGATAAAATAATATTATGAAACAAACTTTAGATCCATTCATGATTGTTGAGTTGAGCTCTACTAGCTAGATCAACAGCCTCTTCATCATTATGTCTTATGATGACTGATCAATGGTCCTAGAAGGAATAGTAAGATAATAAACGGAGTTTAGAATTTGGTTAGAATGATATTTTATTATTTTGAATATTTTTTTAAAAAATGTTTTTAATTAAAAGATGAAAAAGACATTAGTTTATTTTAAAATTAAAAAGATATCATTTTTCTTTAATTTTTGATCAATTTTTGACTAAATTTTTTGGTCATTTAATGTTTAATACATATTGTAAGATTTTAGCCAGTTCGAGTCATCAAGAAAGCAAAAGGTATGAAAGGTCCTTAAGGAGGGTAAAAAAATGTTTGTAAAATTTTGTTAAGTTAACCTAGTCCTAAAAAAATAATTTTTTTTGTGATATTGACCATGTTAGGTTTAAATTAGTAAGCAAAATAATTTGAAAAGCTTTGTACAATTAAACATATTTTTACATTTTATATATCATTTTCTAATCTTTACAATTACTAGAGTTCAAACATCAATTTTTTTATTTGGATCTAGTTTGATTTTATATTTTAAAAAATTGATAATATTTGATGTAATATTCTATACATATATAACATATTATATTCTAAGAACAATTTTAAATATCTTTCCTGTCTAGGTCAAATGTAATAAATTTTAGCTTTATTCGTAAGAAATTTGAAAATTGAATTTTTTTTTTAACGCTAGCTGTTCTAACTTATTTTTTAGTGAATTATTTTAATTTTTTTCTTTTTGAATGAATCAATTTCGTTTAATTTTGTGTATAATTAATAGCTAAGTCAAATCGAATCGAAATCGATAAGTGTATATTTAATTTTTTTTATTTTAATAATATAAAATTAAATATATTAGATATAATTTTTTCATTTTTCTAAAAATATTTTATATACTCATCGTTAATTTAAATGTTTTGACCATCTACACACTTGTTTATTTTGGATTTCTTACGTGAAGTCTGATATTGATATTATAGTTAAATTAAATTAAATTCATGCTGCTTGCTTTGGATTCATCCTAGGTAAATACATTTTATCCATTTTTTTTATACTTAAAATTTAAAATTAAAATTTCTAATTAAAAAATGAATAACTTTATTCATCGTCCTCGATGATATATATATATATATAACAGGTCATTGGTGATATAAATGTAGATTTTGACATGAGAAATTTCCTATATAGGACACGATATCATGTAGGGATCCTAAACTGTCTGCCTTTCTGTATACTGTAATTCCCAAGTTCAGATATTAATTGTATTCACGTTTGTCACACAGATATTAAAAAGATATAAAAACAAAAATATTTCATATATGCCATCGAAGATAACGATATAGTGATAAGTATTTTTTATATTTTTAGAAAATATATATAAAATTATGTTTTATAAGTGCACTTTTCTTTATAAATTTGAAATTATTCATAAATTTTTAAGTGAGATATCGAATACCGAATGAAAAATTCAAACTTATTACTTATCTATTTCATTGGGGGCACATAGCTCCAAGAGAATAGGACTTTCTTCCACCCATGGATGACTGACCCACTCTCCAAGAATCATGTGAATGGCCTTTAGTTTTTTCTTTTTTTTTTAAATATAAAAAAATTAATTAGAAATGAAGATGTACCTAAGAATAATTTTGATGCAATAACATGTTAAGCATAAGTTTTGTTTTTTAATTGACATTAAAGGGTATATACTTTAATTTGGATTTAAGTGTATTTAGAATAATCGAAGGGTAGCTATGACGTAATTGATACATTTATTATTATTTGATTAGGAGGTCAGAGTTTATGCTATGAACATAGCTTTGTGTAAAAATATAGGATGAAACTGCATATAATCATCCTTTTATGGTTATGTTATTTATTAGACTCCGAACATAGTGAAAACTTATTGTGTCGGTCACTAATGTTGAGTTGGTTATCCTACTTGATCCCCCCTCTCCTAGCACGATGGAAGGTTCCGTAGCATATTATGAGCACCATTTAAGGGGTAGTTGAGCGACTCGAGTGAATTGTTTCAACTTATTCTAAGATAGGAACAAAAAGAAGCAGGTTAGGAAGGTGGCTTTGTTATTTTCGACAAATAAGATTCAAATAAACTATAATTTATTTTACTTTCTATTTCCGTCTCAATTATACACTTAAGTTATATTAACTTCATAGAGTAGGACAAACGTGATCTAAGGAAATTAAGAGTTTGATAGAGTTAAAATTTTCATTAATAGAGTTTCAAAATTAAAAAATTAATCACACTAAATAATTGAAGCTATATTTCATATATAAAAATAAAAAGTAATTTTAATCACGTGGGTATAAATAAGGAGGCCTCATATTGACGCTCTGCTCTGCTCTGTTTTTTCTTTCTTTCAGAATCTTCAACTTTTTTTTTGTTCTTTCATAGTTTCATTAATGAAGTTCGATCTCGAGAATCCATTAACGGCCTTCGATGGAGACGACGATGACGACAACGACGTTTCAGCTCTCTTCGCCGCCGAGTCCGATCACACGCCGTCCTTCAAATCTACCGACGTTCACTCTTCCATTCGCAATCACTGCTTCACTCTCATTTCTCAAGTAAAAATACTGTTCAAAATCCTTCACTAATTTGTGCTGATTTAATTTTGTTTAAGTCAGTATGTTCTCAGTTTTTTCTGTTTTATTTTTTGTTTTTGATTTGCAGGCGCAATTTTCGTGTGATATCGATCGATTTGCTGCATATCTAGCTGTCAATTACATCGATCGGTTCCTATCCAAGCAACTTATTCTGGTAATTTATCTCATCAGTCAATCGCATTAAACATGAGCAAATGAAGAATCTGAAACAATGTCTGCATATGTATATGCTGTAAAGAGAAACTAAAATGTGAATTTCTCGATGGAATTAGTTGATGAGTTTATAGAAATTTTACTTATATGGAGAATCTGTAACAATGTCTGCATATTTATATGCTGTAAAGAGAAATATTAGATCAGAACTTCGCGACGAAATAGTTGGAGATCTTATGGAAAATTTAATTATATGAAGAATCTGAAACATTGTAACTGCCAGAGAACTTCACAAAATGTGAATTACTGGATGAATTGTTGAAGATCTGATGGAAATTTTTCCTTTTCTGCAGGAGAATAAGCCATGGATTATACGAATTCTCGTAACTGCTAGCCTTTCACTTGCTGCGAAGATGAGGAACATCAACAACTTACCGATCTCTCATATCATAATTCCAGTATCCAATAATTCATCCTTGGATCAATCTGAACATAGAGACAACGAAGGCTTAATTTTCAATTTGCAGTCAGTTCATCGAATGGAGAATTTGATTCTCACAACGCTCAATTGGCGGTTACGTTCCATCACGCCTTTTGCGTTTCTGCAATTTTTCAACTCGTTGTTTGAACTCAGTAATAACCAGTCACTCAGTCAATCTCTCGAAGATAGAGCTTCAGATGTCATCTTCATCTCTCATTACGGTACCGTATTGTCATATCGTATTTTTACTTAATAGAGTAACGTTAATCTCGTGAATAATAGCAGTAATTAATTATTTCTATCTTTATTTTTTTGTTTAATAAAACGTTAATCTCGTGCTTAATTGCAGAAATTAAGCTTGTTGAGTACAAACCATCAGTATTAGCATCATCGGCATTTCTGTGTGCAGCTCACGAGTTGATTCCACAACAAGTTCCATTTTTTTTAGATGCAATTAACTCCAAATGTGGACACATTTATAAAGTAAGATTTGATTATTTTTTTCGAAATCTAAGTCTGTTATAATTTGTGATTATAAGTTGCATATTTGATCTGATTTCTATATTCTTTTATTTTGATGGACGATCATTTACACAGGAGGAAGTTTTGAATTGTTGGAATGTAATGCGTGAAGTTTCTGTGGATGAAGTTGTTTGTTCTAGCTCGTTGACACCAAACAGTGTACTTGACCAAGAAAGTACAAGTGAGAATGCAGATAGGAACAATAGCAAGAAGCGAAGATTAAACGATTTTCGAAATAATCAAACGTTCTATATTTCTCAGGTTCAACACTACTAAATAATTAGGGATGACAATGGGTGATTTAGCCTTAACCTCTACTCCATGTTGTTGGTGCTTACTAAAAAATGTGATGGTAACGTAGAGTGGAACAATTGTGGAGAACAAAATTAGAGGAAATTTGTACTTCCTCCAAAGATTAGCGGTTATTTTGATATATTTCTTTTATATATATATATATTTATTGATTTAAGATCATAAAATTTAATAATTTTGTTATTCTTTTAAATTGGATCAAATCAAAACAAGATATAAACAGAAATGAAATGGAAGAACTTGACCGTTTGAATAGTTACATATATTCTCTTTGAATCACAAAGAGAATACTTTTCTCTTAATAAAATCAAACATGACACAAATCTAAATTGCTACTAAATGGAGGAGTGTTTAAATGGGAGAGAAGACGGGGCTAAGAGAGATGAAACGTTGTGGCTTTCACTTGAATTGTTGTCAATTTTAGTTCCAATAGATATGCTTTAAAATAATAATAATTCATTCTCACTTTTATTTATTCAGTTTATATTTTACACGTCTTTTAAAAAATAAAACTGTTATTAATATCACTATTATTATTATTATATGCCGGATAAATTGACGTGAAGTCTTAGATGTTAAAAAATAATTTCAAATCCAAAAACATATAATAAAAAATGTCACTAATTCAAATTCAGTCACATATATTACTCTCATAATTTATTGGTATTCGTAGAAATTCATATATTGATATGTTGATCAATATTTATAGTATTGATCCTATTAATCAATAATAATATTATTGATAAATAATTATGTTAATAACATAGTTCTAAGATATAGTCCTAATTAATATATGTAGTTTAATTCTAGTGCTACTCTAATTCTTTAACAATGTTGTAACTCGTCAGTTAGCTTCGTTGGACCTGTTCTTTCGACATGTTTTCAATGCTTAGCTTCCTTCTTCATCAACATTTGTTGTAGACAAGTCAGTCAATTGCGTTGGACCCGTTCCTTTGACATGTTAAAATCGTCAATTTCCTACTTCTCATTCCGAAAAAATTATCCGAACCGGGTGTTTACACCAAACCAATACAAAATGCATTGATACGAGATTTAAAGGAAGTAAAATAAACTATAAATCATGTATTGACTTGGTGTAAACACCCTATGCGGACAAGTTTTACCCACATCATCCCTATTTTATCCTTATTGAGTAGTATTATTTATCACTGATTTGACAAATATAACAAGTTTTTTCTTATTCTTTATTTCTTAAATTTCACGAATCATCAAAAATATCATGTGTAATTATTATTAAATATCGTTCATTGAATGAGACTATTTTTTCTTTAATCAGAAACTTTATATTCAAATTCCAAATATATAATTCTTTTAGTAGAAAATATTTTCTCTCAAATAAGCTTCATTTGATACGAATTTAAATGATAAAACATTATAAAAAAAAAAAAGTGTCACTTAAATCCATAGTGAAGGAATATAAAGTATCGAAATAGGATTGGGGCAGAGATGAAAATTGTAACCTCGAATTTCACATTTTCTTTCACACATTTTTTCGTACACTTTCCGGTCATGGCATCACCGAAGAAGCCACCAACAGAATCCGACCGACCACCGACAGCCATCATGCACCAACCAGCTTCCCCTCGCTTCCCGCCGGGAACACCTACATCCGGTGCTAATCGGAAGATCGCAATCGCCGTCGATCTCAGTGACGAAAGCGCTTACGCCGTGAAATGGGCAGTAGAGAATTACCTCCGTCCAGGTGACGCCGTCATTCTTCTCCACGTCCGCCCTACATCCGTCCTCTACGGAGCTGATTGGGGCGCTATAGACGTCTCTATTGACACAACGGATGAGAAATCGAAGCAGAAACTGGAAGAAGATTTCGACAACTTCACAAGTACGAAATCTAATGACTTGGCGCAGCCGCTTGTTGATGCCAACATTCCGTTCAAGATTCGTATTGTGAAGGATCATGATATGAAGGAGAGGCTTTGTTTGGAAATTGAGAGGTTGGGGTTGAGTGCTGTGATCATGGGTAGTCGAGGGTTTGGGGCATCGAGGCGAAGCACGGAGGGAAGGCTTGGGAGTGTCAGTGATTATTGTGTGCGTCATTGTGTTTGCCCTGTTATTGTGGTGAGATATCCTGATGATAAAGATGCTGTTCCTGATGATGATGATAGTTTGGGTAATGATGGCTCAGCTAAAAAAGCAGCAAAGGCGAATGAGGTGCTTCATCTGGTTCCTGAGGAGGATTCCCTTTATCACGATGCGTCGGACAAAGCCACAGGTATATCTAATACTTGCAAACTACAATGTGTATTTCATTTGCTCAGCTTGATGATAGACGAATTAGTTTGTGAGATGAGACTGTGAACTGCATTCAACAAATCAAAATGCGGCATTTAGTTAATATGATGCTGGTTGAAACAAAGGTTGTGACTTTGTTATCTAATAATGACTACGCGATGTGTAGTTTGTTTTGATCACCTAAGCTAGTTGTAACTTGTAAGTAATGCTATATGGAAGTATTTTCTTCGATTGCTGTAGGAAGCTGGGATTCTATTGGCTATGGGTTGTGAATTCTGTTTTTTAAATGATGTGATCGGAGTAAAAATCGGTCTGCTTTAGGCTATTTTTTCCTTGAGCCCGGGGTTTATCAGAAACATCCTCTCTACCTCTGAGTTTAGAGAGTTGCAAAAGGAGGCAAGGGTCTGCCTCGCCACACGAGCGGCGAGACACCTTTTTGAATGGAGGCGCCAATTAATACCAAAAACTTAAAATATGTAATTGCATATATAAATATCCAAAATCTCAATAGCAATAACATATATTAGCTAATACTATATTATTTAGTATAAAACTAAATTGAGTAGGGTAGAAATAAATATGTAAGTATTGATTTTTTTTTAAATGTAGGGAGATTGCATTAGTGCAGTCAGTTAACAGTAGCTTCAAAATATAAAAACAGAGTAAAAAACAGAGTCTGTTTTTACTGGAGAAGAGAGTTGCGAAGTAGTGAGGGAGTAGAACTGGAGAAGAGAGTTGCAAGGTAGTGAGGGGAGGAGAAATGGAGAAGAGAGGGTTGTGAAGTTGCATGGAGAGTCGCGATGGAGAGAAGAAGTTCTAGGTTTGCAAAAACACCAAATAAACCCTAATTTTGCCTTTTAATTATTAAATCAGATCTTTTTTGAAAACAAATAAAAAGGGGGCCGCCTTGCCGCCTCGCGGCCTCATCATTCCCCTTTTGGTTGCCTTTCTGGCCTCGCCTCGCCTCATTGCTTGGCGAGAAGTGAGAGGTGAGCCCTTTCATAACACTGGGCAGGGGTATTCTGTATACTCTAGTCTCTACCCTCCCAAAGCCTCACTTTGTGGGACTAGCCTGGGTATACGTTTGTTGTTGCTGCTTTAGGAAACTGGGAATGGTCTGATGAATCTTTGATAAATTGTGAGCCTCTATTTCATTATATGGAGATTCTTGTGGATTGTACATTCTGAGAGGGGTTGAAGGTTTCTCTGTTTTAGGATCGTCAATCTTGTTGCTTGGCTTTGTTGGAGTGAATGAAATGATCGAGATTGGATGTTAACGGAAACTTAGCTTTGTCCAAGTATTTGTGCTTTTAGCTGCACCTTTTTCTTATTTGATGATTTCTTCTCTTTCATTTGGCCTTTTATCTTATCAATTTACGTTTGCTGACCTTTGTGCTAGTTGAAAATAGTTGTTCTCCCTCCCATTTCTCTTTCTGGTTAACTTATCAGTAAAAAGGGAAGTGCATCAGCTTCTATTTTCCATATATACCTCTTCCTGAAGGGGTATGCTGGTTATGTAAGCTACTACATTAAACGTATAGATGATACACCATTATGCGAACTTTGGATTTCTGTGGCAGATTCGACGATTTAATTTCTATTAGGGTAAAAAATAGGCATATTTGTCTATTTCTAGACTCGTAGATGATATATAATTTTTAAATGCTGTAAGGAAGAAAATGCTTGAATGGGTCCCCAAAAACGTGTAAAATACTAAATGATCCGCTTCACTCAAAATTGTGCCAAGTTGTTTCACAACAACACTAAATCAATTACATCATGCTTTGGGAGATTACTTGAGCCCATGTGAAATGCTTTTGGGGGAGCTAGTGTCGTGGTAGTGGAAAATGCTCAGCCATTAGCCATCGTTGAAGGAAGGAAGAAAATGCTTGAATGGGTCGTGGATAGATTTCTAAAGTTCTGAAAACTTTTAGGTGTTTCATTTGTGGGGAGGAAGACAAAGCCCATGGCTATAGAACTGACCATTAACTTAAAACAAGAGTCAAGAATAGCAAACGATTGAGGGTAAGGAGGAACAAGAGATTGATAGTAACACTTGAAGGAAAAGTAACACTGTAGTGTACCATGTACAAGAGGAGGTATGCAAAAAAAGAGTGGGTTAGGATGGAGGGGAAGGAGGGTTGGAGGGAGACTGGCGAACAAGACAGAAATTTTTTTCAAGGACTCAATAAGTCCCAACTCCCAAGTGTGGGTGAGGGAAGGAGTCTAGGGAAATGGACGAACAGAGTTCATTTCAAATGCAAGTCCAGGGGATTAGAGTTTGACTTTGTAGTGACAGTCTGAAGAAGACAAACAAGACTTATGAGTGTATGCTTATCATGAACCCTACTGGGGATGGTTGGTGGTAGAAAAGATGCAACGAAGAGAGAGCAAGAGAGAAGTGGTTGGTGGATACAGTTGTGTAAAGAGGAACCACTGGGGAGGGTACTCTAAGCAGGCAAAAATAGGTTGTAGACTTTGTAGAGGGGGGTGAATAAAGAGAATTCTTTCCCCATCTTTAACTGAAGCTTGTTTTTGTTTGTATTTCCATTTATTTTCCACTTTCGCCCTTCTGAAATGTTCGACTGTTTCTTACTATCTGGAGATGATGACATTTTGGAAGGTCTTGGTTTGAGCCTGTGTGTTTGTGATTCAACTTGAAACTGTTATGGTTGAACAGTGAATTTGCATGCCTGTGGGTTGCTCTATCAAGGTTTTGAAATTCTAATATAGTGCTGAACTCTTCAATTTGTTTATCTCCATTGATGATGCAGACTTCCTGGTGCTGAATTTGTTATTTCTCTGCTTGCATCCTTTATATCTACTGCAACTGTGACCTACAGTTGCCAGCTGATCTGACATTTATTTAAGTTTAGTGTGATAATA